GAAGCCAGTTCTCTACACTGGTGAGACCAAAAAGAAAAAGAAAGCAGAAAGGTCCCTTAAGAAGGGAAAGGGCAAAGGCAAACAAGGTAAAGCAAAGGTTGCTAAGAAAGACCCAGCAAAGGACAAAGGCCAGTGCTTCCACTGTGGTAAAGATGGGTACTGGAAGAGAAACTACAAAGAGTACCTTGCAGAAAGGGCGAAATAGAAGCTTGGAGAAACTTCAGGTACATTCATGATCAATCTCCAATTGTCAGATTTTTATGATAGTGCATTGGTATTAGATATCAATATTGCTTATCACATCTACGATTTATTGTAAATTCTAGCAAAGCCGAGGGGAGATTGACGAGAGGAATATTGCATAATGGTTTGTTTATGCAAGACACTACTCCACATATCATGAATGTAAGTGTCTAAGAGGAAACGAGATGAGATGAACAGTGCATACCTGTGGCATTGTAGGCTAGGTCATATCCATGAAAGAAGGATTCAAAAGTTGCTAAATGATGGATATCTAGATCCATTCGACTATGTGTCATATGCAACTTGTGAGCCTTGCCTTCGTGGAAAACTGACCAACTCTCCTTTTAGTGGAACTGGAGAGAGAGCCACTAAGCTATTGGAACTCATACATAGTGATGTATGTGGACCCATATCAACTCATGTCATTGGAGGTTACTCCTACTTCATTACCTTTACTGATGATTTCTCAAGGTATGAATATATGTACTTAATGAAGTACAAGTCCGAGGCATTTGAGAAATTCAGAGAGTATAAGAATGAGGTGGAGAACCAAACTGGAAAGAGTATCAAAACTCTTCGATCAGATCGAGTACTTAAGTACAGAGTTTACTCAGTTCCTCAAGGACCATGGGATATTATCCCAATGGACACCTCCTTATACACCTCAGCTCAATGGTGTTTCTGAAAGGAGAAATTGTACGTTATTAGATATGGTACGGTCCATGATGAGTTTCACTGACCTACCCATCTCATTCTGGGGATATGCCCTAGAAACCGCAGCTTACCTTCTGAACAGAGTTCCAACTAAGTCGATAGTGTCTACATCATATGAGATATGGAAAGGGAAGAAGCCTGATCTTAAGGTTGTTAATATTTGGGGCTGCCCTATCCATGTTAAAAGACACAACCCCGATAAGTTAGAATCAAGGACAGAGCGATGTAAATTTGTGGGATACCCCAAGGAAACTTGTGGGTATTATTTCTATCATCTTGAGGACCAAAAGGTCTTTGTAGCTAAGAGAGCAGTGTTCCTTGAGAAGGAACACATTCTTGGCGGAGACAGTGGGAGAATGATAGAATTGAGCGAGGTTGGAGAACCAAGCTCAAGCACCACTCTACAGCCCGAGTCTGTTCAGGTACCTGATACACAAGTTTCAACTTTACGCAGGTCTGATAGAGTATCCCATCCTCCTGAGAGATATGTGGGACATATTAGAGGAGAGAATGTTGAGGATATTGATCCTCAAACCTATGAGGAGGCTATTATGAGTATAGACTCCGGGAAGTGGCAAGAAGCCATGAATTCTGAGAAGGATTCTATGTACTCCATTAAGATTTGGAACCTAGTTGATGCGCCCGAAGGTATTGTACCCATCGGTTGCAAGTGGATCTTTAAGAAAAAGATCGGAGTAGATAGAAAGGTAGAGACCTATAAAGCAAGGCTAGTGGCTAAGGGGTATCGTCAAAGGCAAGGTATTGACTACGACGAAACCTTCTCACCCATGCTAAAATCCATCAGAATTCTATTAGCTATTGTAGCACACTATGATTATGAGATCTGGCAGATGGATGTGAAAACTGCATTCCTCAATAGGAACCTCGAGGAGGAGGTGTATATGATGCAACCTGAGGGATTCGTGTCCAAGAACTGCCTAGATAAGGTGTGTAGGTTGCTTAGATCCATTTATGGACTAAAGCAAGCTTCCCGAAGTTGGAACATAAGATTTGATGAGGCAATCAGATCTTATGACTTCGTTAAGAATGAAGATGAGCCTTGTTTGTACAGGAAGGTAAGTGGGAGCGCTATCACCTTTTTGGTGTTATATGTGGATGACATCCTCATCATTGGGAACGACGTAGGAATGCTATCCACAGTAAAGGCTTGGTTATCTAGACACTTCTCCATGAAGGACTTACGGGAAGCATCCTATATCTTGGGGATTAGAATCTATAGAGATAGATCCAAGAGGATGCTTGGCTTGTCCCAGTCCAGGTACATAGAAACCATTGTCAAAAGGTTTGGCATGGAAAATTCCAAGAGAGGTCTCATACTGATGAGACATGGGATATCGCTTTCTACGAGTATGTCCCCAAAGACTCCAGAAGAAAGGGCGAACATGAATATGATACCTTATGCCTCAGCAATAGGGTCTATCATGTATGCCATGCTATGTACTAGGCCTGATATAACGCATGCTCTGAATGTCACGAGCAGGTATCAAGCGGATCCAGGCTTGGAGCACTGGAAAGCAGTAAAGTGTATCTTTAAGTACTTGAGAATGACAAAGGATCTTTTACTAGTATATGGAGGTAGTAGCCTTAAGGTTGAAGGCTACACAGACTCAAGTTTTCAGTCTGATGTCGATGATAGCAAGTCGAATTCAGGGTATGTGTACACCTTGAATGTAGGAGCAGTTTGCTAGAAGAGTTCCAAGCAAGATACTACTGCTGACTCGACCATAGCGGTGGAGTACATTGCTGCATCAGATGCAGCAAAGGAGGGAGTCTGAGTGAAGAAGTTCATCACAGATTTGGGAGTCGTGCCGGGTAGCGAGGAGCCGATCTCCTTATATTGCGACAACAACGGGGCGATTACTCAAATAAGGGAACCCGGGTCTCATCAGAAGTATTCTGAGGAGGTTCCAGCTTATCAGAGAGATCGTAACCCAAGGAGATGTAGCAATAGAAAGAGTTCCGTCTGAAGATAACATTGCAGATCCACTGACAAAGCCGTTTCTCATTTTATCTTTGAGTGTCACAGGGGTCTGATAAGGATCAGACATATAGGTGATTGGCTTTAGGTCAAGTGGGAGATTGCTAGTCATAGGTGCCCAGCAAGCCAATCACGTGAGTGATGGTACGTGTGACTTGATACAGAATCTTTTTGCTTATTATATTTTGGCGTATATCACTATATAACTATTGCATATATGCATATATATATTGTGATGTCCTTGGATTTGTGCAATAGGAATCAGATCGTGATGAGATCACGATAATGAGATCGATTCACCTTTAAACACATCCTAAATAATCCTGGTCATAGGTTAATCGAGAGGGACATCGTGATAACCGGATAGACTGGTGTGCTGTATACCCGTCCATATGATGGATGCAGCTGGTCTCATAGCTGCTCGTGTAGGGACACTAGGGATACAGTACATGTGCTCATTGGAGAATGAGTTCACTGATTGATCCGCTTACGGAATGCTGGATGGTTGATGATGCCTTATTGTCAGATAGCAATTCCGTAGTCCTAGTAGTGTATCTGGTCCTTAGAATTGAGACACCAAGGATGTCCTGTATGAGTGCTCCACTCTTTGATACCAGACTTATAGGTTTGGTTGTCCCAGATCTAGTACAGTCGGTCATTGGGAGTTGTAGTCGACCTTACGAGGGCTATTGAGTGTCGATAGAGGATCATCCACTCTCGGCATCATGAGAGGAATATCCCATGTGTTCTTGCTCAAACAAATCCCTGACCAGGGTCATTCGAGTTGAGAGAGAAAGAGTTCTCCGGAAGAATCCGATTAGAGCGAGACTCGAGTAGAAACCGTATGGGTCTGACAACACAATGCTCGATATACGGTATCTGGGATATTAGATGGATGAGGGATTATAGGTACCGGTAACTGAGGATAGACAGGTCCAATGGATTGGATTCCCCTGTATCGTCTGGGGACTACGGCGTAGTGGCCTAGTACTTCCGTAGTCGATGAGTCAAGTAAATTATTACAAAGATAATAATTCATTGAGTTAAAAGGAGTTCTGACAGGTATGACTCACGGCCAGCTCGATATTGGGCATAGAGGGTCACACACATATGGTAGGCATTGCGATGAGTAGAGGTTCAGATATGAGATATCTGACGGAGCCCTTTTCTTATTGGATGCAGATCCAATACCCACTAGGGGAGGACCCATAAGGGTTTGACAGGGGATCTCTATAAATAGGAGGGATTCAGAGCCTTATAGGCTAGAGCCTTTGCTTGCCTTTCCTATTCTCCTCTCCACCTCAGAGTAGGCCTGGAGTTTTGAGAAGCGTCGTCGCAACCCTGCTGTGTGGATCACCGCTAGAGAGGAGGACGCTTGACCTCCTTCACCCTCTCCTAAGGATCTGCAATGAAACAGGGATATACGATCTCCCTAGGTAACACAACCTACTCTATACGCAGTTTTAAGTTTCGCTGATTTTGTGCACCAATCTTCGCACGATGACGAACATCTCTTTGGGAATCGGGGATTTTGTTTTCTTGTTCTTCTGCTGCGCATGTGATGTTGCCCCCAATGATTTCCCAACAATTTGTAATCAATAAATTAACATAATTTATGCATCGACCATCTATTATATATTGGTCTGTAATCAAACGAATTTTGCAATATCTTAAAAGGACCCGTAATCAAGGCTTCTTTCTCTGCAACCACTCTCCACTTCATCACTGTGCCTTTGTCGATGGTGATTGGGTAGAGAACTTTAATGATATAACATTCATGTTGGGGTATATTATTTTCAAAATAGTCACACGGTCTACAATTGAAGTTGAATACCGAGCTATCGCCACCACTATTATAGAACTCAATAGGATCACCAATCTGCTAAAAAACTTGACATCAACTCTATCCCTACTAATACAATATATTATGATAATATTAGAGTCATTTACCTATGTGTCATTCCAATATTCCACACACATATAAAATATTTTAAATTATCCAATATTCAAATATTCCAATATTC